TAAGCAGAATGTATGCGGGAACGAATTTCAAAATATCTTAATATTTCATTTTCGGTTTCGGCTTCGGTTTCGGCCGAAATTCATTTTTAACTTTCGGTCTTTTTTCGGTTTCGGCCGAAAGTCATTTTTAAACTTTCGGCCTTTTTTCGGTTTCGGCCGAAAGTCATTTTAAACTTTCGGCCTATTTTCGGCTTCGGCCGAAATCAGAAAATCACTTTCGGTCGGTCTCTAGACCGGAACACGAAAACTGATACGTCACTGATGAGGAAAGCAATTACTTAATAAACAAAGGTGACGTAGTATACTATTTTCCAAAGATACCGTGTAGCTGTACGCCATATTGTAGGACAAGTTTTTTCGACATTTTTGGACATGTGCAGATCGGTGCGTCGACTAGTTTTAAAGTACCTACTATACAAACTAATAAAATATGAATTAAACTAGTCGGTGAGGTTCGACTGAAACGGTGTGCATTAATACTAAACTTTCAAATTGCTGTCACGTCGCGGGCCGCAAAATATCGTCTTGCGGGCCGGGAATTTGAGAACCCTGATTTAAATGATATTTTATTCCCATGCCTTTGAAATTATGGAATGTGTGGCGAGAGAGACGTTGGCGTAACACCTCTGTCGATTTGAGATAGTTTAAGCTAGGCCTAGGTATATTTTCAATATGCTACTATGTTACCATGGGCGCCCGCAGGGGGGGGGGCACTTGTTCCCCCCCCCCCTGGATTGATTGGATAAAAAAATTTTTAGACAAAAATAGAAAAAAAATGTATTAAAGTAAAGAGAAAATAAAGAGAAAGTAACTAAGCTGATGTCCTTCCGTTCGTTCACCATACAAATATGCTACAGTAAATTAAAACTATTTTAAAACATTACTAAAAATTGTTTGCCCACCCCCTGGAAAGTTAATCGATTTTTTTGCACCCCCCTAGAAAGTTTTCTGCGGGCGCCCATGGTTGTTACTGAATCAGTTGTTGCTGAAATCTCCTAGTGTGGATGAAAGCAGAAAAAAAGTCTTACGAAGTGCGCTCTTTTGAAGCGATAGTGCCTAAATTCTGGAACAGTTTGCCTCAATCTTTATTAAGGCAATTAGAAAATGATAAAAAAAATCATTTAAGAAACATTTAAAGACTTTAAAAAAAATAGATTTAAGAACACCAAAGCGCAGTGAGCATGCTAAAGTAGCATGGATACCAGCACTATATAAATATCCAATCAATCAATCAATCAAAAGTGTCCAAACAATAAAAAACTACAAAAGAAATCCAAAGAAATCCGACGAGTACCACACTAGTTAATGGGAGGGTGGGGGGTGGGAGAGGAAGGTTTTGATTGGCCAATACAGCAACAAAAAAAAAAAAACAGTGACCCCTAATCTAATAGACCATGGACTGGTACCAGTCTGCGTCCCGGTAATTGGAGACCCCTGAACTAAAGATAGCAAACATGTTTGTTCACTAAAATATTTCTCTTGTCAATCATTTGAAACTGTTCACCATTTACTTAAATAATGAAATTATTGAAATAAAAATTTCAACAACGAATTACATTACAACTAAAACATGTATAAAATGTACAACATTATAATGCTGAATTTTAGCATCATTGAAAGACATATTTTCTTATCTTATTTAACGGATAATATAATATTTATGAGTAGAATAGGCCTACGTACTATACATTTATGTATTTAGGATTCTTGCTTAAAAATATTTAAAGAAATGAGCAACAATCGTAACATAGTTTAGGCTTTGTATAAGGTTTCTTTTCATTGAACATCAGTCGTTTAGATTATTAATATTCTAGACTTCCGCTTCCGGATAGTGCTATATTAGCATTGTAAATTGATTAGAGATATAACTATGCCCCATCGTAATGCAGTTGCATTAGGTCTATGCTATTTGTTGTATTTTTACACATGTAAGTATCATTATGATATTGATACGCTACAAGAGTGTGTCATAAATCTTAAGAGTTTTGTTAAAATGTAATTACTTACCAATATCACATTTAAGCCGAAGGCTAAGGCAGGACAATTAAATGAGTGAGTTGAGTTAGTACAAGAACTAGAACGTAGTGTAGTGTACTCACTCAGTTAGTCAGTTGACCTGAGTCGGCTCGGTGAGTCAGTTACTGTTAGATCTAATTGTAATTAATGTAATCAGGTACTTCGGTACGAAGTATTTTAAAATAATAAAAATTATGAAATCAGTAGGCCTATAGATTTATAATTTATAGACATAGAGTACTAAAAACTAAACTGGAGCAAAATTAAAACATCCAACATTGTCATTGAACATCGGTCAAATTCAAATGTTTTGAAAATGAAGCCAACATCTTGAATGACATTGACTGTGATATTGAGAATTTATTTGAATTTTTTTTTTTTTTTTTTTTGAGGTTCAAGCTTTGAAAATTGATGGTAAAGGTAGGTCAACTTGACCAATTTATAATTATAAAATAAAAGTTCATTTCATATCTGTAACATGTCCAAAATTCGTGAGAATAGACTGTAGGTAAAATTTATTTGAATTTTTTTTTTTTTTTTTTTTTGAGGTTCAAGCTTTGAAAATTGATGGTAAAGGTAGGTCAACTTGACCAATTTATAATTATAAAATAAAAGTTCATGTCATATCTGTAACATGTCCAAAATTCGTGAGCATAGACTGTAGGTAATGTTAAAAATGATGGTCAAAATGGTCACTGACACTGCTTTTGTAAAGTGTTTGTGGGCATATTACTTATTACTGAATGGTTGTTGTGTATGTCTTTGTATGTAGAATTAAATTGTATATGTATGCTGCTGCTTTCAGATGATCATTATGACAATGGATTAATGATTTGAAATGATGTTTGTTTCTAAGTGTGAAACTTTATTAGTATCATGTCCTAAACACCCCTACCCCATTCTTCTCCTTTAGGTCCAATGGACTGGGATATTGCTAATCAGCAGAGTTGATTTGGATATAAAAGTATAATTTATTCACTTAGTTCTAATAATAAGATTGGCATCATCTCCGAGCAAGTGTAAATTGATTTCATTGAAATCTGAAAATATTTCTGGCAATAGCTTCATAATGTCTGATGAATTTGGATTCTACAATCAGCTCTGAGAGAAGCATCCATCTTAAAAAATTCTAGTATCAAATAGTTTCTAAAAGTCACTCACAATGTTAAAGTCAATAAACTCTTTGCAGCACAGTCAGACTCTTTGCACCAAAATCAGACTCTTTACTCTTTGCACCAAAGTCAGAACCTTTATGAGATATGTATTTTTGATGAAATATTTTTTTTACCTTAAGTCTTGAAGTGATGCTTTACATAATTTTTATGAATGCAGTAGATTTATTTTTCCATTTATTCTATTTCTTTGGTTATTCATACAGAATGTGAAGGAATTGAGCACTATGAGGCAAAGAAAAAGAATACGTTTTGGAGAAGTTGTAAACCAGTGGCAAAGAGCTTTATTTTGTAATATAGGAAAAATGTGTACCTTTGTTGGAGTGTGCCTGATCTTCCACTAGAATGAACTCTAGAGAAAGTTCTGATGACATGGGCACTGACACAATTCTGCAACCTAATATAACAAACATGACAGTCTTAAACATCCTGGAAAACAGTTGTGTACAGAATTTTGACACTGTCGCATGCATTAGGTTAGTTACCCTGTCATCCACTAGTTTAAGTTTTTAACAAGTTAAATTTTATTTCAAAGAGCAAAAAGCAGTGAGAGTTTGGGATTATTAAAAAAATATTTAAAATATTGTTTGGTTTATAAGGCTAAATTTTGTATCAAATAAAAGATAATAAAATGGACTATATGCTTGTAAACTTTATTATTCAGTTTAACTAATAGAAGTAACAGAAAAATAACTTAAAACATGAAATACAAAAACTTTTTCCCCAAACTCTTTGATGTAGGCTTACATCATCTTCACTGACGTAACTTAAATCATCTGAAACTACCACAATCGGAATCATGTGAATCTAAATTATCTTCACTATTAATAGAAATAGTATGAAACATTTTCAAAGCTTGTTGAGCTGTTAATTGTCCAGGCAGCTTCCTCACTGTATTGATAAACAACAAAAAACAGTGAAGAATATTGATAAAATACTTCTAATAACAACAAATAAACCTTGGTTTTGCTAATAAACAATGAAGCAAGACTCTTCTATGTAAAAGGTTAATTAAAAAATATCTCTTAAAAAGTTTAACCAAGAAATGCCAAATAACAATGATATTGAAACAACACACAGTGCATTGGTCAGTGCTTTTTAGCATGGCGGATGAACGTACTGTGCATTGTGCCACAGCGAAAGAGTTGAGAATTGTCACCTGGGATATTTATATTGGCCACACTAGTTTTTGTGTGTGTAAATTAGCTCTTTTAAATGACGTTTAACTTTTAAAAATGCAGTAAAATGTTAATAATTTCAGGAGCAGTGTCTTAGCAGTTTTAGCCATTCTCACATCTATACTTTGCGTGGTTAAGATTGTACAGCTTCACATTGCTCGGCATCCATCATGTCATCAGTATGTCATCTTTTATGCTGCTGCCCTTGAATGTGCTACAGGGTAAGTGTCATACAAACCTTTATTTTCACTGTAAAGACAAACCTTTATTTTTCTCTGTGAAGACAAGACGAACCCTTATTATCACTATTAAGACAAACCTTTATTTTCATAGTCAATACAAACCTTTCTTTTATCTATGAAACATGGGCGCCCGCAGAAAATTTTCCAGGGGGGGGGGGGGGGAAAAATATTTTTTTAATGTTT